CAGAACTGCAGAGCTGACGGAGCTGAGCTCATTGCATATGCAACTGGCATCTTGGCTGTTTTTGCTACTGTTGCAGTTGCAATTTGCAATTTGTAATTCGCTTATCCGATCACTTTTGCTAATGCGTTGCACATTCGAGGCGCCAACAACAAAAGCTGGCCAAGAACCGCAGGAACGTGGCGCCCAAACAAGCAATCATTGCGAAAAGCGATTGATTTTCCATAGTTAGCCGTAGTCCAGAATGATTCATGAATGGCATTTCTTGTACTTAGCCATGGGAAAGGCACTTACACTTAACCGTAATTGCCTACGGCCGTCTGGGGGTTCCTTGTGGAGCCAATCTGGAGCTGATCACGTAACAACATTGTTAGTTCTCAATCAGATAGTAAGGAATGTCTTAGGCATAGCTAAGCCCATTGAAAATGGGGCCACGTCTTTGGATCGATATATTCACAATTAAAATGAAATTTGTTTGCTTATAAGATCGTTGTGTTCGGATAGTATCGCTTGTACAAATGTGTACTTATTCACGAATGAGCGCTGCTCCGAGATACTTCAAGGGTCTGGGACTGTAGGTCCTGGGTCTGCAAGCTGGACTTTAGGGCACCATGATATGGGGGCGAGGGTCAGGCGACTGATGACTTGATTGAATTCGCATAGGCGCTAGATGGAGGCTCATTCGCAATGCAGCTGGCGTAGGCCAAGTTAGATGGAGCGTGGTTTGGGCAACACGACAAAGGAGCTTCGAGCGTCGAGCTTGGAGCTGGCGTTCGACTACTAACTTGGCTAACAGAATGACAAGCCGCTTGTTATGCACGAGCTGCGTTCTTGTCTGGGGCACATTAAAGACACATGAATGGCCCGGCAATAAATATTATTAAAAATGTTTGCCTTTATGGCATGCTAAATGCGATGGCAGCCGCAATTGCGACACTAAGCCACCGTAAGCCTATTATTTAATTTGCCCACAGAATGCGACGTCCGACGGCGGTGCAAATGAACTTTTAAAGCGCCCGGAAAGTAGACAACAAAAAAGCAGGATACGCAGACTACTTCGCAGGACCAAGTCGAAGGAAAGGAGGTCGGAGGACGAGTCGCGCCAGCATCATCAGTCATCACCCTCGCTGGAAGGCGACGACTGCTATCCGTTCTCGGTTCTCAGTTCTCAGTTCTCGATTCTCGCTTTTCGAGGGTTGCAAACGGGATTCATTCGTTGGGCTGCAGATATTCGCCAAAATAGAACGCCGGCGAAAGATACTTTATAACATTTTTGGCAAACAACAACAACTACTGAAACAGACGCAATTCGTTACGGTCAGCTACAGATACTTGTACCGATAGGCAGCAACTAGACGAAGACAAAGTGCTGGGGGGTCTGCATGTGTATAAACGAATGAATACCATGTAGAGACTATAGAGATGTCTACGAAGGGTTTGGATGGACCACTAGGGTTGTCAGTGCCTCTAGTTCTGGCTAGAAGGCATATTCGAAAGGTCAAGAACCGGAAACTACAGACTTTTGGCTATATAATACATAGCATTTCGTGTTTACACTCATACTGATGGCAGTCACAATTGATTGTATGTAAAAAATACATTTATTATTAAAAAAAAACACCCATTAAATTGGTGTAAATTCCCTAAATCAGTAGTACTAATTTAAACTGTTTTCTCGCCGCCTAAATGGTCTTTAAGCTTATTTGCTAAAATTGCTGGCTATTTCCAGTGAGCCACTTGGCAGCATCAGCACTAAAAGCCCCAACCCCCGCTGCGTGGCAACAGCGTAAAACTTTGATGGTCGAGAAGACAATAACAAAGTCCAGCGAAATTGGCCATGGCAAAGTTAAACATTTTCTGGAAATCAATTTACCCAGCTACACTTTCATGTTAAATCAATTGAACTCAGGCGTGCGTGGAGTGTCAGTTCGCTGGCATTCTGAAGTTCTGAAATTCTTGTTGGCCAGAAACAGATACAGATACAGATACCGTTAGTGCCGCATGGCGTGGCATGGCCCAATGCCCGCAGCTCATCCCGCTAACAAGGCTAATTGGTCATGATGCCTCTTCGCTCGACTCGCATCTCTACTCTCTGCTGGTCTTGGCCCTGGTCAGAGATCCTGTTTTTTGCCAGCTCCTCCTGGTTTCCTGTCCACCAGTCCACCCTCCCGTCCTCCTGTCCTCCAGTCCTCCAGTCCACCCACCTGTCCACGCGGCTTGACACCTGTCACATCACACAATGGAAATCAGTCGACGTTGTCGCTTGGCATTTGCCCCCGAACGAGTCACTCCTACTGGACTTTGGCCATCGAAAACTGTCGCTGCCTATTTATTTACTCAAGCGTTTGCACTGAGTTGTCCTGGTTTTTCGGTCTGGTTTTGTGGTCCTGATGGATGGCACTTAGCGAGGGTCGCCTCTGCGGTTGGTCCACTACAAAATAAGAAGAACAAACAGGGTGTGGTTAGCTGAATGCCACGGAAGCCCCAACATTTGAGTTCATCGCCAGTTGACTTAAATCCTCTTTCAAGTGAATACACAGCCTTAATGGGTAATGATTTTAATGGCACTCATTCGGCGACAGGTATTCTATATATGAATCATGATTCATAAACAGCAAAGAAAAAACCCAATCTGCGTTCGGTCATTTTTCCCAACAGCTCATTCTCTGAGATGCGATTCAAAATATTATATTATATTGAAACGAGCGCACAAAGAACTCGAAGTCGTAGAATGAGCCAAGTTTTGGTTGCCTTTGCACCCTGTACAATTGAAGCTGTGCCACCCACATTGCCACTATGGCCCCCTCGTGACCTCCCGACCTCCCAGAAACACCCACCGCCCCCCCGGTCGCCGCCTGTCATCCCAGCCAGCTCCATCTCCTTTCTGCTCGGAAAAAAAGCTTTGCATGTCCGGCATTTCGCACCAATTGCCATTAAATTTGCACGTATAAAGCGAAAATGCCAAAAATATTTCACGACAACGAGACGGCAGGAACATCAGAAACAGCGGCAACATCCCAGCAGCATCGGCAGCAGCAACAACAACTGGAGTCATACAACAAGAGCAAACACAACAAACACACAAGCACAACAAGCACAAACAGACACACACACCGCGCAGCAGCAACAACAACAGGCGACAATCGACAAAAGTTGGCAACACGTAGTCGGGATTGCCCTCCGTGCACTGAGAAAAATAAGTCTGCAGAACCAAACCTGATCTTACGCATTCATAGGAAACTCAGTTGAGTTGCTTGGGATTTTAATATTTTGTTGCTGTAATATTTATATATTTTGAAAAGTACTTATGCCAGATAGGAAATCAAATAATAATGCATGAATAAGCGTACTCCTATAAATTTAAAATGCCTCATAAAGTTGAAGATCCCCTTAGTTGTAATGCAATTTACTCTAATTGAGTTGGCATCGCATTTCTTTGAGTGCTCCGAATGCGATTGGTATTGGACAGCACTTCGAGTGACGGGAGCGGGTGGTTTTTGTTCCCGGCTTTTCTTTATGCCACTTTCGGAGATGCTGCCCCTTGTTGCTGTTGTTGCTGTGTTGATTGCTGTTCCATGGTGGCAATGCGACAAATTCCACGCTCAAATGTTCGACACGCGCCGGCGCAGTGGCGCAAATCTGGCGAGCCTCCTGACCAAAAGGACCAAGATGCTGAGCGCGGCCAAAGGATGCCGGCAAAGCGGAAATGTTCAGTTCATTAGCGAAACGTGCGCGTCGTGTAATGGACGTGCCACCGGCTCGGAAACAAGCCAAATTCCCCAGTTCAAACGGTTGGTAGAACTCGAACTCGCTTTTGGCCATCTTATACCATCGCGTGCAAAAGTGGCTAAAGTGAGTGAAAGAGTGAGTGAGGAGAGCGCGCGCGCGACTTGCAACTTATATTTTGGCCAAAAAAACCCAAAAAAAAAATCAAAGTAAAATAGAAAATGCGGGGAGACGAGACAAAGCCAAGTGCGAAATTGCCAACTTGGCGTCGAGTAATTAAATAATTAATTGAACTGAACAAAGGAATTTCGCAAGGCAAGCCAAGAAATGCGCAAAACAAGAAACAATTAACCGGCTTTAATTATAGGAAAGGTCAATACTACGCAGACGGGAGTCACGCACTTTTTTTTTCGGTTCTGTTCGGTCTACCGGGGATGCTATTTGTAGTTGGCTTAAACCGAAGAACCGGTTGGTCCAAAGCAGCCAAATCCAAGCCATATTTGTCGCCCCTTGTTTAATTAGAAGTCAACACCTGTACTTTGCATTTTGACTGGGTTCCTTCAGACTGTGTTTTTCTATACTTCACGTTTTTTCTACGCCTGGCCCAAACCAAACCGCAAAGAGCCGCTTGATGGCCAACTGACTGACTGAAGCGGCAAGAGCAGCAGCAGCAGCAAAAGCAGCAGCATCCACTACAGCATCATCATCATCATCATCACCATCGTCATCGTCATCATCATCATCATCTTCGTCGTCGTCGTCTTGGCCAATTCTTCTTCTGCCCGTTTTGGCCATGGCCAAGACCGCGACCACGAAGCTGCCGACCGAAGACCAAGAACTTGCCGAGCTGCAGAGCGTGTGAGCCGAGAGTCTTTGCTTTTGGCCAAAGTTACATGCTCGCCGCGCAGTCGACGTCGCCGTCGCCGTCGCTGCAGCAGCGCAGCGGCGTTGCTTTGAAGCCGGCTTCGGCGACGCCGACTGCGACGGCGACCGCGACAGCGACGGAGGCGGCGACTGCGGCGCAGTGAGATCCAATTGATGAGCAGTTTGCTTTTGCTTTTGCCTTTGCTTTTGCTCGCACACCATTTGAGTGTGTTTGTATTTGTGTTCTTAGCCGCGCTCTTTCTCCGTTTCGGCGTAGCTCTCTCTCTCCGCTGCAAGTTGTTGCTTTTGCTGCCGCTGCCCGCGTCGCAGCCGGCGTCGCTGCCACCACAGCTCATACCTTTGATTTAAAATAAAAAAAAATGGGAAAAAAAAACCGCCGCGCTACGTAGGCTATATAAATAAGCAGCGAGAAGCTATTGGGTCCGAGTCTCTTTGAATTTTATGAAGCGGTTGTATCTTGGTGGTGCCCCAAGCAGCCGAAACGAACCGCCAACAGAGAACATCACCATCCTCAGTTGGCCAAAAACCATTCTTTTGCCTTTTACCTCCAGTGGATTACCTTTGCCCTAAAAATATATAACTAACCAACAAGCAACGCAGATAAAACTGTCAAGTGAACACAAACATCGAGTTGAACAAACCCATGAAGTGCGCGAAATGTTGAGCTACGTGTAAAAGCGATTTAAAGGATCTTATAACTCTGTGAGATACAAATCAAAGATACAAATCGAAAGCAGAAAGAAAGTGGCTAGTGATCCCCCGGAATTCTTCGCAGAGTTCTAAACGACGAAATCCGTTCTGTTACTTACGTGAAAAAGGTGAGTTTCGTTTCGAGCAGCGTGAGTCCTTCGAAAAGGACTTTGTGGTGTATGAGCAGATTCAAGAAGTTCCAGAAGTTTCCAGTGGTTTACTGTGCTGAAAGATTTTTGATTCAATTTTATTTACAATTTTCAAATTATTTCAAGTGCTTAGAGGTTGCACAATTTTTCAATAAATTTAAAATGTTACATGCAATTAACAAGCAATTTGCTACTTCCAATCCATTGAGTCGAAACCTAATTGTTGAATTTATTTTAGGCAGTCAAGTGAAAGCATTTTTCGAGTCAGGGAATTTATTCAATTTATAGCCATGTTTCAATATTTATTAAAAATAAATCTGCATAGCTTTTCCCAAGACTTGTTGATTTTATTCAATACATTTTTCAATTATTATTTCCCGGGATGACTAGCTCCAGCATAGCTTCTGTAAATTAAAATTAATGCAGCGCCAGCTTCTATGGCTAATAATAATTAATTTACGGGCAATTTAAACCGGTGTTATGCACATGTGTAACGCGTTGCGCAATTGCTTGAAGCCCGATTCAATAATACTCGTAATTATTCATTTCCGCGACATTTTCCCCCATGGGGTTCTTACCACCCGATCGAAAAGTCCCATCGAACTGGGGTGTCAACTCTTTGTAGGGCAAAAACCAGACCTCCCATTAAGGCCATTTCCCCAGTGCTGGCCAGGGGGGAAGGGGTCACTGCAGTCGAGCGCCTGCATAAGCCGCTTTAATCTTTACGGCCGCCAATTAATAAAACTTAATTTGCTTACAACCAAATTAAAGCGAAAGTCAGCCAGGCGTTAAAACGGCCGCAAAGTTATTCATTCATAAAAGAAAAAAGAGGTTCGGTTCGGCTCGACGGCTGCTGGTGCAAATTGCAGCCATTCAGTCGGTGGCTGGCTCATTCATCCACAACTGGCTGCACCACCGCACCACTGCACCAATGCACCATTGCACCACTGCACCGCTAACGTAACTGCCACGCGCCGCGGCCCAGACTGCCTTTTGGCCTTTTGGTCTCTTGGCCACGGCCATTGTGCAAATAGTTGCCGCATGCACAGGCAAAAATATGTTACTTCTACGATCCATGATCCTACGATTAAAAACTTTAAGCAATTCATTTTTATGAAATTGTGCCTTGAGTAAGTGGAAAATGATGATCGCTATTATTTCGATCACTAGAAAAGTCTTGCCTTCCAGAACATTTGTAGAATTAGGAACCCTACGTCTAGAGACACATAATAATTTCTTAGAACTTCTTATTGTTATTCGTTCTAATGAATTTCAATGAACATTTCCACCGTGTGCTTTGGCATAATTTATGAAAAGCCAGCCTCCAGGCCGAAAATTTTCAGAGAGAGCAACTCTAATTAGAATTTATGCCCACACCAACTGGCGCGCAGCTTTAAATGGCCAACAGGCAAAAGCAGCGTCGACATTTGTCAAACTCGTAAAAACTAAAATAGCCCGAATGTAAAAGCTTTTAGTTAGCCATAAATAATACAAACTATGGCCGAACAACGAGCCCGACGAGACCCGCCATGAAAAGGCCCCCCTCACATGCCCCCCACACATAAAAGCCAAAACGATATATTTATAGTAGTTACAAGTGCACTGGTCTAGGTCCTGGTCCTGGTTTGGACCATGTTCCATGGCTGCTGCTGCTGCTGCTGCTCCTGCTTCCCGAATCCCAGTTCCTTTGGCCGGGGGCCCAATAAAAAATGCAAATAAAACGCTGCCGCAATATGTGACCATCGGACCCACTCCCATTTCGTTTGTTTTTTCTTTTTGGTCCCACTGGCTGGCAAACATTTGCAACCTGAAATGACTTTGAGTGTTATTTGGTTGGCCAGAGATTTCATTGGCAGCTGGCCAGAGCGTTTGAGCCTGACATTTGAAGGGCCCTGACCATGACTGGACTCCAGAGCATTCAGCATCCAGCATCCAACATCCAGCATTCAGGGCAGGAGCAGCAGGTGTTTGGCTGAGTCTCCCTTTTTATTTGGGGGAGATGCACGGGAAGCCATGTAAGAGTGTCCTGCTCGGAAATAGTGTGATTTATAGACAATTTCCAAAGGGGGCAGGAAAAGGGAGCAGAGCAAATTTTGACATTGGCTTTTTGTCTGCAGCGGCGCCAGCAGGAATACAGATTTATTGATGAGCCAACAGGAAACATGGCCAATACGGATATCGGAACTGGAGTCTAGTTGTAGTTGTTGTTGCGGCTGCCCCATTCCCAATCCGATTTCATTCTGTGGTTTCAGCGTTTTTTTCCAGATTCCACGGCACATCTGCTGCAGCATTTTAATTAAAAATGCCTGAAATGTCTCCCCATATATATGTATATATAGTGTGTAGTGTTTAGTGGAGTCAGGCAGTGGCAGTAATGACATAAATGCCTCGACTTAGGGCACTTTAAGTCGTGTGGTTTCGACTGCGGTTGCGATTGAACAAGAACAGAGTCTTCAATGTGGCGAACTTCCGCTGCCTCTGGCTAAAATAGAAAGATAGATAGGCACAAACTTTGTTAGAACTCCATCACTCAGGGGAGCGAATCGCAAAGTTCGACACTTTTGCGAAGTTTACGAGCTTATCGCCGGCCAACGCTGCGTATGCGAAACTTTATCCACCTGCGGGTTGGCTGAACTGTAGCAGATCTGCGACTTTCCATAGTCACTATTGAAAGTGATTTACAATAATTTCTAGTCTTTTGTTTGGACGCTTTTTTGGTGATGTTTACACACACGTCTTGTACTGCGTTGGGCGGCATTATCATAACAATTAAAAGACGCTGCAGCCAAGTGGCTGGAACTTTATTCGGCTTCTTGGGCTCCCTAACTTTTATGTTAATTTATTTTAATTTTCGTATCTTGAAAAGAAAGATTAAAGCAACTGCGGAGGACAGCTCCCTCCGCGTTCAGCCGAAATGCGCAGAAAAAAAGTCTTTAAAATATTTAATTGGCTGCCATGAAGCTACTATTTTAAGTTATGATGCGGGCTCTGACATCAGCACGCCAGAATAACATAATACGAGTATAAGAATACCAACAGAACATCACAAGATCACAATATCACATACCAAAGAAAGGAGCCCTCGAGAAGCCGACAAATTACATAATGATAGGCTGGCCCAGGCTAATGTACCATTGTTGAGGCTCCCAGTTTGCCGTTAGGCAAGTGGAGATGGACCACAACCGTGGACAGAAAAGAACCGGAGGAGAAGCCATCGTGACAGGAGGAGGAGGAGCACCACGTCACATCACATCGCATAATTTAATTAGACCCAGTGTATGCAAATGATATGCTGCGCTAATTGAGTGAAAAGCTGTGCGAAAGCCTAATGAGCCGAGGCCGGGTCATGCATCTCGTATCTGAATCTTCCATCTGGTGCGGGTATCTCGTAGTTTTCGTATCTGCCGGATGCAAGCCGCTCCGGCGTGACTGCCACACTCGGTTATCAGTTAATCCGATTACGACGCTGCCTCTGAACCCATAACACACAAAAACAGTCCCTGTCGATGGCCAATATCATGGGATTTGTGCGAGGTTTTATGGCTTTAAAGGTGCAGAAATTATGTCGCTCTGATTCTTAATCATGAATTGCAGCATTGATTCTATGAAATTATAGCAATAGTTCTTCTCAAATTTAAAGACCGCCCATAGGTATTTGCTTTGTGAGTCAGTTAACATTTAAAATTAGACAAATGACCGACGTATGCTTAATGGTTTTGGCTCTGAATAATACCTACATATGCGTCCATTAGCCGTTTTGAAATCTTATCTATCGACTTGAGATAACCAAAGCTGCATTTTCAAGAGACCGAACAAATTAAATTGTGACGCTAGCAGTTTTTCGCATATTTTCACCTTGGGCATCATTTCTGCGCATTTCAAAGACACTTGAAAAAAACGAACCCAAACTGAACATCATTCCCGCCAGATATTTCTTGTGATCTTAAAGTTTAATTGAGTAAATCGGTTTATGTGCGGCATTAGCATTGTGACTCTGTGTATTTTTCTACGTGTTTCTATGGGCCCAAAGAAAGTAAGCGCAACTAAGCACATTACGACCAAGCGACGACACTTGTCTCGCATTACGCCCAAGTACCAAGTAGCCAAGTGGCAAGATGGCCAAGTAGCCAAGCAGCAAAGTAGCCAAGGTTAAATCGTGGTCTAGAACCAGGGAACTTGTGGCAAGAACTCCGACTTTAAAGTGTGTCGTGGTGGGGCGCGAATTTCTCTAACCCAAATTGTTGTTGCCGTTGGATTTGCTGAAGTCTCGGAAGTTTCTGTCTGAAGTGGCTGCGATCTGGTTTGCAGCCACCGATGGTTTTCGAGTTCAATAGCCAAAGAAAGTGTCGGACGGTAGAAAGAAAAAGTGTGCGGAGCGAGTGGAACCAAATGGCGACATAGATTTCATTGGCCATTCCCAATGCAAGTGGAGTGGCTAGAGGAGCGGCCCACCTGGCGTATGCGTAATGCCTATTATCAGCCGCAAAATGCATTTGGCAAGTGGCTGTTAATGGCCATTTCGCGGGGTGTTAATGCAAGTGGCCATTCCATTTTGGCCACAGGATGGGGGCGAGTTCCTGGCCCGTCATTAAAGCCATTCCGAAGTCCATTAACGCGACTGGGCCGAGTAAAAAAAGAAAAATAAAACCCTGAAAGGCATTTTGGCATGGCTCTTAGAGCTCTAGAAAACCCAATTTGATTCAATTTCAAATGGCGAGCATAATGGCCAATGAGGCCAATAGCAAAGTAGGGCCCACAAATTCAATGCGGTCAAGGTGTCAACGCGCACGATGGCCAAAACTACTGCACAAATTAAATATATGTTTTTCTCTGGTTATTATTGGTGCGCAAACGGGTCTACCAAACATCCAAAACTTAACTGTTATGGGGCCAGCACAATTAAGCCAACGGTGCGCCAGCAAATATCAGGGCCCAAAGCCAATAAATTAATTCAATTACCCTAAGGCCAGAAACCAAAAATCGAGAAACCCAAAACCAAAAACCAAAAACCCAAAATAGGCAAATCAAGTTCGGCCATTTCTTCTCCTCTTTCTGGCCGAAGATCGAAGAAATTCCTTTCTTTTGTGAGAAAATATGCGAAAAGTCGTCGCCTGCGTTTGAATGGCCAAAAGAAATCGGCTGGCCGAAAGCAAAGATCCCAAAAAGAAATATATACATACACGTATACAAAAAACTTGTTGTGAGCCCCGCGGCTCTTGGATAGAAAAATAGATAGCGGCGGTGAAGGGGCTGTGTTGACGCGAAGATGTTTCTGCGATTCGTGAATGAAATTAATTTCCATTGTATTTGGTGGGGTAAGTAAGTAAGCCATAAAAGAAATACAGTTACGTTTTAAGGCGGCAAAATATTGCAAATGAAAATGGATGTGAGAATCGGGCGATGATATGGAGATTGATCACCCGAATGGTCTATAAAATTGAACTCATTATGGGCCTATGCTGATTTCTTATTGCGGTTCACATAGAAGCTGGCTGAAATCCCTAATGAGCTGGAAGCTCCCGCTTCTGGCGGGATTTTTATTGTGGCCACTGCCATACTCGTATAAATTCCGAATCATCAGCATTCTGCAGAAACTGTGCGGTTTCTGTTTAATCAGCATGATCATTTAGACATTTCACTCGGCTTAGTCAGACAGAATAAACCGCGCGAATAAATTTAAATCAGTTCAATTAAACGAGGAACGAGGAACATCCGAATAATAAACAGTTTGCCCACCCTTTCGATGACGACAGCACGCGAGTTGTCGGATTTCGATGGTCTGACACATGTGGATACTACAGATATACATCTGGCTTTTGTGGGGGGGCTTTCGTGTCGCTAGCTGCTCAGTGACCCAAATTCGGGGACGTAACTCTTGTTTTCTTCTGATTTACATTCCAACACACACCGATTGCGATCGACTGTGGGTTCTAATGATCCATCACAGCCTGGCTAATCGATTTCCCCACTCTCTGTCTGCTTTCAGGTATGTAAGCTCCATTCCAGATGACATTTTAGCCAAGAATCCGGATGGGCACAAGGTAATTGAGACGTCAGTCTGTCGGCGCTGAGAAGTATGCAATGATAAATTGGACGGCAAACAAATGGCTGCACTTTTTGTGCCGCTGCGCTGCTTAACTGCTTCAATTTGCATAAATAAATAATTTAGCAGTGCATTCGTTCGGCGCTGAAACAATAAAAGCCAGCAAATTGAGTCGCGAAATGAAGCAGTATGAAAAAGGGGCGGACAGAAGCTGGTATCCATCTAATTTATGCAGCTGGAAAGCAATCAGAGCAGCTCCTTCCCGCAGGAGGAGCTGTGGCTCCTGGGTGGCCAGGAGTAAGGTGCGTGCCTCGACAACAGACAAAAGTCGGGACATGGGCTTTGAGTCCTCCTGATGAGGCAATACACCAGTGCTTTCATCCTTAGACATGGCGCTCATTATTGAAGAGGTTACGGGTACACAGGTCGACTATCCCATCCGGCACATCCTTGCATCCCGGCATATCCTTGTGCGGGGAAATTCCAACGCTTCTGCATTGTTTTGCCTTTGCCACTTGACTTCATTGCCTTCAAGTGCCACAAGCCCCTTCCTTTGGCATTTTGCAACCCTTTTTTTTGCTTTTTTGCCATTTCAGTCGGCTTTAAGCCCCAGTTCAGCGTCAGCTTGAATGGAGCTGGAAAACAATACGTTGGCTTCTAATTGAAATGCAAAATAAATGTTTTGCCATTTCCGAGTGGACAGGTCAGCGGCTTTTGTGGTGTGACACTTGCAGTTGGCCGAACAATGGCCATGAAATTGATGGCAAAGTTGAAATTCGTGTTTTAAATGTCGCTGCATAATTTATTGTGCACTCACTTCACGGGAATCAAAATCCATATATCGAGCAGTCAATTTATTTTGGCTCATGCAATTATCTAGAATTTCGTGGGGTTGAAAGCTCGTCCGCGATGGCAAAATCAATTTCAAGCCAATTTGCAGGCGCTAATAAATTGAGTTAAAAATTTGGAAATATAAATTTCTACTTGCCACATTTCGGGGTGCACTTCAAACCCCCAGGAAAATAGGCATTGCTCTTCTGTCATCTGACGAATTTTCTAATTTAGATTCATTTTGTTTAGTGCCTCGATAAGCTTGCTTATTTTTCGACTCCACAGAATGTTTTTCTGGCTAATAATACGGGGGGAAATTCTCGATTGAGAATGATTTTTTCGAGTGGCTGGTTAAGATCGTTTATCAGGCGGCCAGAGTCCGCTGTGGGCGCTTCTAATTGGGCATACGTGTGCTCGATGGCACAGTCATTCCATTCCATTCCATACCAAGCCGGACCAGGCCAGGCCGTCAAGTGTTATGGCAAGTATTTATACTTATACGAACATCATAATGCGGAAACTCTACCCGAAATGCCTGGCAGTGGCGGTCGGTTCTAAGAACCCGCCTCTGTTAATAAGAATAAAAACTGGTTGGGGTTTAATAGCCCCCCACTGGCTGAATCTTCTGCCAGCGTAATAGCCAAGTTGACCAGCCATGAAATTCAATTTCATTCCATCTCTCATTCGGCTACTTTTTTCGGAACATTCTCGGAAGTTGGCTTAGTTTATGATGGGGTAGCCAAAGTGTAAAGTGCATTAACCGCCGCTGAGCCACTAGAATTAAAGCCCCACATCTGGATAGACCAAATAAAGGAACCCGAAAAGTATAAGTAAGCCCATGTTTGCCCAGGCCCAGCACAACACACCTGCATAACTTTTACCGAGACAACCACTTTCCATGGCGGTCTCTTAATAGGTTTTTATATCGCTCGCAGAGAACACTTTCCTTTGTCCGGGGGGCATTACCGAACCAACAAATAAACTGGACGGAACCTGGCCAAATAAAAGTGAAATTGCCGTGGCAAATTTGTTTTCTCAATGAGCATAGTTTCTGCTGGTCCAAATCTCACGTTCATCTCTTAATGACGGTACATCATTTTAATTATTCCAATGCACGTGCTGAAATGTTAAGAAAATGCGTTGAAAGGGCACTTTTTCCATGTAATAAAGTGCTTCCTCTCCTCCTTCGACTCTACTGATAAATCGCATCTAGCTGGGCTGGCCTGGAGCACCTGTGAAATTGGTCCCAGCATCTCCAGAACCCCGAGATCCCCAAGATCCCAAAGATCCCGATCTCAATCCCGATTCCAAAACCGATTGCAGACTGCGCTTGGGGCGCCGTTCGATGGCCCATCTGACTATCAAGTGGGAATGGGCCGGGTATCGCCTTTTGGCCTGGCCAGAATGGGATGTGCTTTTCGGGATTTATTTGTGTGGAAATGAGCAGCTAACGGTATATGAATCATGACTTTGGCAGGCAGCATGATTTAAAACACTCACTCATATGCGGCGGCGTCGGCGGCATTGGTTCTTCTTCGGATTTGCAGTTTGCAGTTTGCAGTTTGCAGTTTGCAGCTGCAGTGTGAGTGCCATGACTTTATGCTGCAGTCTGGCCAGGTCGTTTGTAGCTGGCCTGGCCTGGTCTGGCCTGGTCTGGGCCAGGTTAAGACCACAAGACGCTTCCCTCGCCGTTCGGCTGTTTGCGCATATTTTAGCACATTTTGCCCTGTCCAACTCGAAGCTCCAAAGCTCTCCTCGATCGGCGATCGCGACGCGACTTTGTAGCGCGTAGGAAAACGTGCGATTTCAAGTTGACAGCACAGCTATGCCATATCCCATATGCTATGTGGCTTGAACCCGAGCCCATCCCCATCCCCATCCCCATCCTCTTCCTCTTCACCTGGTGGAGTCGGTACTGGTACTGGTAGTGGTACTCCGCCTGTCTGCCTACCTGAAATCAGCTGGAAAAGGCAACGTTTTTCATTTTCTACATTTTAATGCAATTTTTAATTTATTTGTTTTGTCGAGGCAGCGACACAGACAGGGACAGCGACTCCAGAGCTCCAGCTCCAACTCCAGAGCCTCAGAGCTCCAGAGCTCCAGCTCCGAGTCCAACTCCAGCTCTCTATCGGCGGACAACGCATGTATTCCTCATTGATTGGCATTTCCTGGTTGGCAGCATTAGACTGGCCAAGTCAAGTGAATTCCTCGAAGCGGCCAAGAACAAGGATGAGGCCCACAACTCCACAGCTCCAGAGCTCCAGAGCTCCAGAGCTCCAGACTTGGTTGTTTTTCCCTCCACTTCGAGGAAGGGGGACACATATATTCGCTGCATCGACTTTGAGCAAGTTCGCCCTGGGCATTTGTAATTATCCAACTGGCCAATGAGTCACTGGGAATGATCGATGCTGACTTGCAGATCGGCAGTGGCAAAACAATGCGAGATCAGCCCCATGACATCACTGATCACTGGCGAAATAGAGTCGCATCCGGGCCATTCCCATGCCTGTCTTTGGTAGCATCCCCTGGCTCTAATAATAATTTTGGCCAGCACTTCACATGCCAAATTACACGGCCATGAGTAATCACATTAACCAGTCTCGAACCGAAAACGCGCCAAAAGCGCGCGCTCATTGATCCACTTTTCGCAAAATCTGCTCCCCAATCACGTAGCCAAAAAATAGCTTTTTTGCTTACGTTTATTTGGCTAACTGTTTTTGGCCTGGCTGAATTCGAATTGAACGCATTTCTGGCGGCTTTGGCATAATTAGAACCAGTTTGCTGGGATAGAAGGCGTAACTCTCTTCGAAATCACAGCTTAAATGATAGTTATATATTTAGATATGGTACATAACTCTGCTGCAGTTACTTAAGCATTTCGTTCCGCTTGAGTTTCATTTAAATTCGCAGAGCGTCTGGCATTTGAGCACCTTGATTCACCTGTCTCTTTGTTTTATGACTCAAATTGCAAATCGATTTGAATGTTGTATAACCTAGTCGATTGACACGTGTAGGCGTCGTTAGGTTTTCGCCGGGTTTTCGGGTTTTCGGGCCAAACGGCTTCAAATGGCCAAGAACCAAATGTGCTGCTCTCAAATTCAAAATCACGTTTGGAAAATCGCGCTGAAAATTGACCCCGAAAACCGGAGTGCCCCGGAGCGAAAATGCCTAATTGTGATGTTGATTTTAATTAAGCGAACCGCGCAAAAAATGGGGAAGCTCATTAGTCAGCGGCGAGCTAGAAATCGCATGCAGCTGCATTTGCAACTTGCAACAACTGGGGGAAATCAGAACGCTTCTTCGGCAACAAACTTGACCCCAAGAAAAAGAGAAATTTGTGGCAAGCGAAAAAATGAGGCTCGAAACAAAATCAGCTCACGATCTTCCGCAGTTTCAGTTCAGTTGGTGTTTGCTGCTGCTGCTGGGTCAGTCCACATATGGCTCCAGCCTCCAGCTACTGGTATCTGCTGGCTACTGGCCAGTGGCTTCTGGTTGCATGCCGCATGCTCCGTGCTCCATGCTGCATGCTGCATGCTGCAAGCGAGCACTCGGTAGCCAGCGTCATCAAGATTTGTCACAAATCAAGGCGGGCAGGCCACTAATCCAGTTCAAGTGGTGCCTCCGACACAGCGAAAATGGCAAATTGCCGTCGCGCTGCTGGCGGTGGAAAAGGAGTTGCTGTTGCCAGTTGCAGTGGCAAGTCGGCGTTGGCGTGCCACCAACCAGCATCCATACACTTGAACAAATCAAGCGCAGCTCACGAAACTTTTGTGCCCACCAATAGCACATTTCGATCCTAGAAAAAGGGGTGCAGTTGTGGGCTCTTGTACATTTTTAGTGGTTTTCTAAGAGTAGGTGATCCTTTTCGGCCAGTGTAGGAGTGGCAAGCCGTGGAGTCGTGCTGGGCAGCTTCCGCATGCCGACAAGTGACTCACAAGTCGGTCTCCAAAGAAGTTCGGTTTTGGTTTTGGCGCGTTTGTTTGCTTGCTCGGTTTGTTGGCCACCACTCGGCACCGTTATGTTTGCAGATCGTGCTTGTTGGCCAAGTGAGCTTTATTAATCTCGAGCCAGCTCCTTCAATTTGGCCGCTGAAGATGAAGATGGTGCCGAAAGTGCCACAAGGTCGATCGGTGCTAAGGCCAAGCTCAAATTTGCATGGGGTCGAAGATTTGCATCTAACTATCTGCCAATCTGGCAATCAGACCTCATTTCTGTTACCACTATCACCGCACTTTCTGTAATTGTCGCCGCGAAATTCGCCGGCCACCATCGAAACCCTGATGCAATTGCAAGGTCGCACATTCCCAGGGGCCAACTGCAAATTGGCTGCTTTCCGGGGTTCAAGCCGCAACAATTTGGCCGACAATTGGCCACAACTATGCGATGTACTCGATTGGCAATAGGCCCACGTGTTAGGGTCCACCAGCAGCATCCGCAGCAGCAGCAACAACTGCAGCAGCCACATTTGCAGCAGCGAGTCGAGATTTATGAGGATGACGTGCACAACCAAGGGAATACAGCACACTTGGAGAAATGGGGCAGTCGCTTCTAGAAACACCCAAAAATAAATGGGATTCTGTTGAATTTACTAACAATAAGCCATTTCAATTTATAAAACCTTCAAGGAACGACATGTCACATGTTTGTGGTTAATTTACAGTGCACCGAACGAAATAACTATGAAGTAACAAGAAATGCAATTTGCGATTGCTGCTGCACCGTTAAATGTGTGGCACAGCGGCGATCGAAAGAACACAAAACCAAATTAACGCCAAATGCAACAGCAACATCCAATGCAACAGCCAATTGCAATTGCAATTGCAATCGAAGAAGTGTAATGCGATAAGCTTAGTGGGATTGGGATGCGGATGGGGATGGGATGGGGATAGGCATCGGGATGGGGGCCACCATCTCCAGATGGACGCGTGAGGTTGGGGTCAAAGCTGCGGCATTCTGACGGGACCTGGAATGGGAAGCGCAGGATCGCCTCGCTTCGGATCGGATCGCATCGGATCGCATTGCATCGCATTGCATCGCATCGCATCGCATCGCATCGCCTCGGTTTCGAGCCAAAGACTGTGTGCTAAATGTCAGTTTGATACTGGGGCCAGAATCCAATTAAAGCTGCAGGCCGCACAGTTGCAGCTAGCAACTTGCAACTGGCAAGCAGCAAATTGCAAATTGCCATCGATCTGCTGGCTGGGATCTCCTGGTCGATGGCGATGTCGATGTCGATGGGTCGTCGTTAGATGCGTGCGCCAAAGTGTATTTGTGGGTCATGGTACCATGGTACCAATCTCGTGGAGACACGGACAACAGACATGGGACACGACAGCCGACACAAGATAGCTCTCTGACAAGAGACACCTTTTGATATGCTAACGAAGGCTTTTCCATTTCCATTGGAGCCACCTTGTTCCTGTTCCCTCTGCCCTCCAGCGAGCTCGTGCTCCGACTGTCAAAATGCTGCCCATGGATGGCCTAGCTGGGAAATTTTCCCACCCTCCATTGAGGCCGTCTGCTGCCTTGGTAAAATGTAAATTTTCGTTTGTTTGCCGCTCCGCGCAGTGCCACACATTTATATTAGTGCTGAACTGGGCCGAGTTGCAGCTGCAGCTGGGCGAAAAGGAGATGAGAAATGGGAACTAGAAACTGGGAGTTGCAACTGCCACTGTCACTGCAACTGCAACTCCACGCATGCGCAGATGCCGCTGCAGCTCCCCTGCCAATTTCCCAGCCTGTCCGCTGGCTACCCTTTGTGGGCATTGCGACCCGGTCAAGGAGGAGGAGTTCTCCATTCCATACCATGCCATACCACACCATACCATACCATGGCATATTCCTTATGCAAATAGCGACCGGCACTCTTCACGCATGAAGACTTCGCCTGGACCTGAATACATTTTTCAAAACGCACTTGGCCATTCCATTGTTGGATGAAGATGCATTGCTCGCCTTGCCCTTGCCAGCATTTTCCCCCCAAAAAAACAGCAAACAAAAAGCGCAGAAAATGAAAAAAAAATCTTGCAAATTTCCCATGACCGATATACGCCCCGGGCCAAGTTGGCCAAGTTAACAAGCGCCTGCCTCTTTTTGGGTAAAAGTTTCCATCTTCCGAGTGCAGCGGCTTTTGGTCACTTCATTCACAAATTGAATTTGTGTCACACACATGGCTGCTCAGTTGGTTGGCTGTTGGCTGTTGGCTAGATGGCAACCCAGGCAGCTGGCTGGTGACCACCCCTTTATTTGGTCTTAACCCAAATACTGAAATGCGGCAGAAATGCGAAAGAATAAAAATTGTTTACCATTTAGCCGCGGCAGAATAATTACCGCAACAAGTTGCTGCTTGCTCTCCTGATGGCTGCTGCTTGTTGCAACTGTTGGTAGTTGCAACTAGTTGGCAAGCAGCAACATGTTGCTCGTGTGTTGCTAATAGCTTTAGAACAAGTGCCATTTTGGCCGGCAACTAATAGCCAGTTTGTGTCGCTTCCGTTGTCAGTCAGTCGGGCTCACCATCCACATCCACATCCACATCCACATCACCATCATCATCATCATCTTTACCATCGCAGCGGTGTGAGATTATCATTATTGTTATTGTCGCTCGTCATGTCAACTCGCCATCAACATGCCGCTTCTCTGGCTGGAAAGCAGACGAGGATGCTGGTGTCTTCTGTCCTCAGTGTTGGCATCGGAATCGGCCAGCACACACTGCATTCAGCACACAGCATCCAGCTCCATGGAGCAATCTTTCAACCTGGCCGTGGCAGCTTCGTGTGTTGCATACCCCTTGTTATTTTCGCTGTTGCCACGGCACGCAGCAATGCTATTTGTGGCTCCCGGGGAAGCCCCCATCCCTCATCCCCCATCCCACATCCCACATCCCGCCACCCGACCTGCCTGCATTTTAATGAGCACAATTCGCGCATTTATGATGAGCCCCAGTCCGAGTCGAGCATTAGCCGATTTTTATTTGCCTGTTTCGTTAGCGAGCTGAGCGAAGGGGCGGCAATCTGCAGCCGCGGGGAGACCGAAGCCACTCAGATTTCCAGAGGTTCGCGGAAGGGGCAGCTGGGATGGGGGCCATCGAGGAGTAGCCTGATGGTATGCCCCCCGTGACAAGTTCGGTACTATGGGACTCGCAGCTCTATCTGATATCCATTCTGCCAAGGAATACATCGTGAACGATCATATTCTATTATTATTTCGTAATAAGAACAAAAACCACAATGGGAAATTCCAAATGTGGCCAACTGTGCTGTATCCCTCGCTATTTGTAGCAAAAATGCGGGTATTAGTTTCAACACTCGTCCATTTGCGACCCCATTGTGCTTAGGTGGAAGTTTTATTGCTTTATGGAATGTATGAAATTGCATAACACACCCAACAGCCACGCCCCCCGAAGCAAACAAGCACTCAGCATCCATTCCCCCGACTTTTGATACACGGAAACCTTTGCTCGAGGGGAGCAACCCCTCGATGGAATCACGTGTTGCATCTCCTGGGACCTGATTAAAGTAACATAAAGCAAATAAAAGCCGACAAGCGAACTGGGCTAATAAATGAAAATATGAGGCGTATGTGTGCCATTATAGGGCGACAATAAACCAAACCCAACTCTACTGGTATATACCTTCGTTGGCCAGTTGTCAACCAATAAGCCGTGATATGTGGCGGTTGCCGCCTGCTAATTATAACGACGGGATCACCGGATCTTCGAGGCGGGGGAAAAGGAAACCAAATCAAAGTAGTTGGGGGGGTAGTCCAATTTCGGTAACTTTTCTTTAGCGTGCGCCTGACATTTTCAATCAGCAGCGCAAGACCTCCAGATACAGATACAAATCCAGCGATTTTTTGACCTCTACATGAGCAGGATGGAGGGGGCGCAGCGGAAGTTGCCGGAGGGTTGAGTTTGAGGGACAGCGGGCATGTCAGGGAAAATTGCACATCTGTCAAATCGGCAAACAAGTGATTTCCGCAAACAATTGAAGAAAAACAGCCAGTCAGGACGAAAACGAAACGAAAAGAAACCCAACGAATGGGACAGGACAACGCATCATGGCACAGGACATTCGAGGAGGGATGCTAGTGGTGGTTTTGGTATTTGGTGGCTCACATGTCAGCGCTCCCACCCGCCCCGAAATTTCTGCTTTTCTGCTGTTTGTGCACGTAAATTGCTTTTGTGAGGCCATTGAAAATTTTCGAATACCAAAAAGAAAGAATCCGAGTACAAGGAAATAAATTGAGACACGCCGGTTTGGGGGCGGCATGCGCCTTGTCATGCTTTTTTAATGAAGTGCCAGTCGTTTAAGGAACATATTGCCGCCCGATTTGATTGTTGTTTAAGGGTTAAATGGGCTGTCCGCAAGAATGCCCCACACCCCAAGCTCCTTTGTTATCCCAGTACTAAACTCGACTCCTTTTCCATTGCAGTTACAACCACAAGATGACCAGAAGACGTTCGAGTCCGCCGGGACTCGAGGAGCTGCTGTATCTGGCGCTCGTCCTGCTGGCCATGGCTTTGATACCCACACAAGCCGGTAAGTGGTTTATTATGTCAACGTAAATTATGTTTACCCAGCTAAGTACCCAGTGCTTAGCCCATCTGTCCTATCTGTTTTGGTTATTATTTTGCCATAAATTTGCCGGCGAAGCCATGGATTTTCGCACTAATTAAAGCCATTGTGGCAAATTGCCATCAGCTGGCAACAGCTGCCGCTTGCAATTGTCCAGGGTCAGGGGTCACCCTGTCAGCCGCTGACCTCTACTGAATGAAAGTCTGTTGCATTTCGGCCAGAGGGCGAAAATCGAATTAGGAACGACTCTTCGGGGGTGTCCCAGATATCCCAATAGGATTGTGTGTTTAATTGAAATCGAGTGGAACCGAAGTTCGGACTGGCTCATAATTAAAAGTAAGTGCTAATGGCCTCGACCATCATTACCCGCCAACTGCCCTGCAGATGGGCGTCCGAGCTCATATGGCCAAAAAGCGAGAACCTAGAAGGGAGCAATGTGTTAACTTTCACATTTAACCGGCCAATAAAAGGCGATGCAACGGCGTCTTCCTGGTTCTTTGGGCGTTTTCGATTTAACGACTTCTTTAAACAGAACTTACAGTCAAATAAACCCCAAAAAAGAAAAAGACGTTTCGGTATTCCTCAAGAATATCGGTCAACGAATGCCAAAACCGAAACGTAGTTACTGCCACTCGAGGGTATAGCCACCAATCATCCGGCCCATAACCGGAGAAGGCCCAGAGCCAGAGCCAGAGCCAGGCCATTGTTTAATGGGCTTTCAATAAACAGGCAATGGCAATGGCTCCGACAGCCCGGTCCAACTGAAAACTCTGGCTTTCCAGCTCCATGGACTGACTGACTGAATGACTGACTGACTGATTTGGCCCAGTCAAAACGATAGGCGACAATAGTCAGCTCGTTGACCCACATTCGTGGGTACTCCACACTCGCAGCACCACGATGCCTGCATTGGGCATTTAGAATTCTTGGAATTTTCATTAACACATGTCCGAGCCGCCGCAGAGGTGCATATGGAAATGGATCTGGCTGACAAAGGGGAAATAAAGTGGAAAAGAATTTTTCGGTTTTGTGAATGGACGAGCCGAGGGGAAAGCCGTGGAGAACCCATGGTGTTTTAAGCATAGATTGCCCCGCCAGGGTTTCTCACCTACTTATTGATTATTACACACAGTCACAAATCGGTAACACTAACAAGCCGGGCCAACAAAACGGCCTAATGGACTCGGGCTCAGACTCCGGCTCCACGGCGGGTTTGATGAACTCCGGCGCGCAGAGTTTCCCAGCAGGGACTGGTAATTGAATTGTTCCATTATAGATACGAGCATGACTCAACAGATACATTTGTATCTTTCGGCTACGTACATGTGTAGTTCTAACTCCGCCGCCGACAGCTGCGAGCCATAAATCAGTGGGACTAACGCAAATGTCAGTTGGCACGGCTATTCCGCTGCGATATGATATACATATAGCATGTATACTTCACAACAAGTGGCATTTGCGTCATAACAAAAGCTGTACATCGATGGATCGATCGATCTATCCATGCCAATTGTTTGCGCAGCCATCAAGTTGGATATCCAAATCGTTTCGAGAGTTTGTCGAGCAACTTATGCAACTTGAACTGGCCATCAGCTTGGAGCCTTAATTCAAGCTCAAGCTCAAGCTCAAGGTCGATAAAAACGAGCGACCATCTTCCCAACCGGTAGCCGCCACACATTATCATTATTTTATAAGCCACGAAGTAAAGACGGCAATTTCAATTTGGCGCTGGCTCTGGCTTTTTCTTTTTGTTTTTTTGCCGTTTTTGCTCGGTGGGGCGTTTTCATCAATCAACTTCGAACGTGAGTTCGTTTCTTGTTTTTCTCATGCTTATTAAAGAATCATGGGGGGCATGGAAAGAACACCTGCTCTTGGCCTCTGGGCTCTTTTCTATCTTCCGATCTTCCAGATACTTCTGCCCTGGCTGCGGCAATTGACACCTACACCACTGCGATGATGGTCACTGAACCTCAACATCCATCCTTTTCAGCGATCTAGAGGCTATCCGATTTCGGCACTCAAACATATTTTATGTGGCCAGTTCGCCAGTTTTTGTGATTTCTTAATTTATAGCCAATTACAAAGGCATTAGTGCGCCTCACGAAGATCTTCAATACTTTTGTTTATTGCGCATATAAATCGCCGCTTTACGGCCCCATCTTTATAGCAGTTTTGCGGAAGCATCTAACTTTCGAGAACCCTGATGATGCCCGCCGATGATGTGCCTAATTAGCTTGTATTAACTTCTAGCCAGGCTTCAAGAAACTCCAGCTCTGGCTGCGACTGCGGCTGCGGCTGTGGCTGCGGCTGTGGCTCGAGCCCAGGTACTCTATGGTTTGATATTAATTGCACGACCCGCTGATGTCATCAGCGGCAGCGTCATCATCGGTCCCTCGAGCATAAGCGTTAATCAAGATCCAGTCATCGTCTTAGCCACGCGCATATAATTAACATTTCTGCCACGGACCAGGTTCAATGTCAAGTGGCCCGGCGGATCCGGCTTATCGGGCTTATCGCCGTTGATAGCACCAGGCAATGGTAAATGGTAAATGGTAAGGTGGCATATACCACACCACACCATTGGCCAATGCCGTGCCATTCCAACGGGATGGGGACCCACAGCTTCCTACTCCACCTCCTCGTAAATATTTCATATATGCAAACACCCCGACGACACCGGGGGCCATCCCATTCCATACATTGTCCGAGTCCGAGTGCGAGTCCGAGTTGTTTGCTGTTCACTATTCTCGCTGGGCAAACAGAAACCGGCCAAAGTCGCTGACCATTGACCGATATGGCAATGATGGCGATGATGGCGATGATGCCGAAGATGTGTTGGCTGCGTGGCTGCGGAATTTCGTAGCCACTTAGAGAACAAGTACGCGAGCCGGAGATCACGAACTTGCGGGCCAACCCGCACGAACCCCAAAAGAACGGGCCTGTCTGGGATTTGGGACTGGGGCTTGGGGCTTTGGAATCCCCAATAACCAATATCGCTACTACCCACTGGTGACTCCTGCCGAACGTGAGATTCGCCAATGGGGGGCGGAGAAACTTTCGACAGTGACACAATTAGGGGCCCCCCAACTCCAGTGCAAGCTCCAACTCCAACCCGAAGTCCACTTGGCTCTTGGCCATAAATAAGCATTTATGCTAAGCGGCCAGACGACTTTCCTTTCATTTCGCTTCGCTCGGCCCACCAACGTAGCCTCCCCCAGATGTCCAACTATTTGTCAAAATCGCGGTGGTGTGAAGCCAAATCTGAGCTGTGACAGATGCGGTACACTGCGAGAAAGTGAGTTTTACAAAACAAAATATTCTGCTACAAATGTAAGCCTTTTAACAAGCCAAGTTCAAAATTGGACAAACTGGCCATATTGAAGTATGCATTTTACGGTCCAAGCAGAGAATTTTTCCCAGTGCAGGTGGTAAGTCGGTCTGCCGAGTTGATATGATAAATTGACCATGGGCTCGAGACACTCATAAAAGACGCATTTGTTCGGCTTAAATGCCCGTACACAGAGCCACTTAGTTCGCGCTGATCTGACCCACGCAATTCCCGCGTTTTTTGAGGGGGCGAGGGCAATGACCACGCCGCCAAAGGGCCGCCGAGTTCCAAGATCCATGATCCAAGTTCCATGCTCCGAGCTCCAGCGCTTCACAAGTGCCTCGCTGCACTTGACTCCCCAATTAAATGGCCAGAAGTTGGAAGTTGGAGCAGCGTGTGAACCAGAATCGGAGGCGGAAGCTTGGAAGTTCAGATTGTTCTTTCCGATTTTATCAGCACCAAATTCCCGACTTCCTGCGACAAGGTCGGGGGCTAATTTCACTTAAGTAAATAGACTGCGGTTAACTGGCGGCAATTTGATGTGTAACGGTAACGTGGCTACATCCAGATTGAAGTCCACATCCCAAAAACCGAATACTGAAGACCGACAACCGAAAACCGAAAAATCCAAGACCAAAGTCATGCTGAAACTACAATTGCAATTACACAATTTGGCCATTAACGCCTCGGCTCCGGGAGTCGTCGTCATGCCCCTCGTGCACCTTTCACCTTGACAATGAAATGGTTTCCAATGATTGCTGTAATTTCTATTTGGCTTGGAGAAACCCACAATGGCAGCTGGAAATGCAAATGAATATCTTGCTGTTGTGTTTAGTAGAGCAAAACGCCGGCTGAGCCGAGCTCAGCTATACGTAATACAATACCAGTTGGGATTTCTCAGGGCGATACCGCACGATACAGACACCTCTATAACCATAGCTATATGGCTGTGTGGATGTGGATGTGGATGTGGATGCCATAATCATGGCTCATATTATGTATGCTGCTGCTATTTCCCTATTATTGTTTGATGTCATTGAACTTGAACTTGCCGTGGTCGCCGGCAACGCCAGTTGGCTATTTCTGTTTTGACATTTTATGCAATTTCTCGGCGTGAATATGCTAATTCGGCTTTTGTATAACACGTTGTCGGACCAAAAACGTGTTCAAAATGTTAATTAAATGGCCAACACTGCTGGCTTTTATTCATATTTATGGCAATTAGCAGCCCCCTGACCCAATTTGCCATTTTGTCTCTGCTAATTGCCGTTTATGACGAGCGTGGCGCTGGAACCGGACAGATTTGGATGAGCGTAGTTGGGGACTGGGTCGGAATCGGAATTGGAATCGGACCCTTGCCCACATACCCGACCGTGCCATAGATGCACCTTAGCCGGCCACTCAATTAGACATTCTGCCTGGCGCCAGTTGCTAATCGCCGTCTAAGATGGTCAGCACGCTAACAAGCCCAAAGACAATGATGGCCAACTGATGGGGATGCAATGCAGCCGCAGACGGACCTCCTGACAGCCTGGCGGATCTCCAGGGAGGTGAAGTTTTCGGTTCGCTGCATGCCCAGAAGCTACACTGAGAAAGGAAGCTCCGACTGAATCAGATTCATAGTTGAAATCGCTAA